CTCCATTAATATGACAAGCTGCAGCTCACAATACATGTTGGATGGAAACATTGTGTATTACGATCGAGTTTGTAGCTTAATTCACTATATTTGAAATAGTTTAACCACTGCAGTTCAGTTGCTGACGGTTCAGTAGGAAATCAGTTGAAAGCATCCAGTCACAACAAACATTGAAGTGAGTGTTCAATTTATCAGTGGAATAAATATTTGAGAAATTGTTGTATCTGATTGTATTAGTCTATATAGAGTGATAGTCAATGTAAAAAGAGCAGATGGGAGAAGCAGATGAGCACAAAACAGCAGAACAAAATAAAGTTAAAGAGGGTAACTTTATCATTCAAATCACTATTGATGTATAGATAGCAGCACTGCAAGCTACTAGTAAAAAATAGATAACTGCAATGATAGCGACTCAATTTAAAGCAGTTTAAAGTTAAAGTTAGCAACTATAGGTGATGGGTAGGCATTTTTGTGTTGCATATAGATTATTCTGGAAAACATCTGAAAATCCCTCAGGAATCCCGAGATTGGATTAGATGACTCTAGGAACAGCCTGATCCAAGAAACCGACAAGACTCAGGAAATAGAAGTGAGCATGCCCGTTTCAGCCGTATATATATCTTCCCATCTACCCCCAGGGCAGTTACTTACGCCCTCTCAGGCGTTTGTTTGCCCCGTGGAAGTGACAGCTAATCTATGGGTGTAAATCAGACGGCTGGAGGTTGGGAAAACAGTTACAGAAGGGTCTCTCTTGGCCGTCGCCCGCCTTATAATAATTGACTTCATTTTTATGACAAATCTCCAGGTTCCATTAAATCAAGCAAGGTCCATTGAGGCACTGGACGAGCATCGACATGTAGGGGAACGCTATGAAGATGAAGAGAGAATTAAGACATTTTCATCGGCATAATGCTTGTAATGGCAGGACTTGATGTTTTGAGTATATGAAGGGTAATTATTTTCAGTGAAAGCCGTTCTTTTGAAAGCTGCTTCCTCATATTTGAATTTTTGCATTAAAACAATATCAAACCTTAATTAAAGTCATTAAACTGCTAAAAATGCACCGTTTCGGACACAGCAAGAGCATTTACCCTCTGCTTATTGAGGGAATAAATAACAAATGAATGAATATGTATTCACACAGAACAAATGACCAAAAAAATACATCTGGAGGAGAAATATAGTTTTTTTGCAGTGCTTATATATAAATGTAAATCATTTCACCATTATAAAAGGATTATATAGGAATTAATTATTCATAACCACCCATTCTACAGAAAATAAACGATATAGGCCTATCATGTGGAAAAATACTTCAAGCTTGTAGTTTTGATTACAATACATTACATCCGGTCGGTCTCGCCAAACGTGCTGTTTGGTCGTGGAAGTTGAAATATTTCAATGCACCCAAAACTCAAATCTGATTAAGAGAATGCCTTCAAAACTCTGTAATAAAGTCTATATTATATTGTGTTTATTTTATGTTAGCCTTATTTAATGGTCGTTTTAGTTTAGGAATTTGTTGGCACGCACTATGAAACCATGTTTCTTTTGGCGTATTGATTACCATTTGTATAACCACAGTTTTACTACAAATACCATGGTTAAACTATGGTTAGTGTTGCAAAACCATGGTTAATTTGTGGTTACCATGGTTTAACTATAGTAACCATGGTTTTTGGCTTTATTTGTAGTAAAAACATGGTTAATTTCTGTAAGGGCTTTTCCGTTAGCAGCTCTCGCACAGCGCATTTGATCCGATTCTTTTAAGTGATTCACAACTAAACCGCGTCCCAAACAACTGATTCTTAAGAGCCGACTCTTATAAAACGTTTTTTTTTTTCTTGTACAGAACAGCCCATAGATATGTATAGGTAGAATCTGTTAGCTAAAGGCATTTAAAAGGTACTTTTGTTTAAAAAAAACTGTAATATTGAGTTAAATTAATATTAAAAACACAAACCAACATATTCTTACCTGTGAAAGGTTATCCAGTTTCTTCAGGAATTTAAATTTAGGCGTTTTTTTTTTTTACAACCAAAGCTGTTGCATCTTACATAGACCGTTCCAAGATGGCCGTTCCTGTCAACGTATCAGGAGCAGTCGAATGTGGCATCTATACATATCTATGGCACAGCCTGTGTAGTTTGAGTCCCGAACGAAAGACTCGAATGACTCGGTTCTTTTGTGAATCAAAACATACAGCTTTCAACTGTATTTATGACAACGTCTAGTTAAACAAAATCTGCTTAAAAATGGCAGGTCACCCCTTACGAAAATTACCAATGGTTTTATTGTCATAAAAGTGCAGTAGCTTTTTTTTTTTGGTATATTGATTACCATTTGTATAACCACTATTTTACTACAAATACTTAAACTATGGTTAGTGTAGCAAAACCATGGTTAATTTGTGGTTACCATGGCTTAACTCTAGTAACCATGTTTTTTTTTGCTTCATTTGTAGTAAAAACCATGGTTAATTTTCAGGACAGGATACTGCAGAAGTAGTATGTAGAACTAATACTATGGTAGTATGCTATTCAGAACCAGTATTTAATCGTACAGGCAATATTCAACACATTTTCAAACGAAGTTTGCTTAAAAATTGTTGGTCACAGTATACATACTATACATACTACATACCGCAAGAACAGTATGTAGTATTAGTCACAGTATACATAACGGTATGCTAAACCAGTATTAAAACTCAGAATTGTCTTATATTTTAGGATATCATCTTATGTTCTGAGCTGGGTTTTGTGTATTTTCTGTAGGCCTCTGTGATGGGTCATAACCGCACATCCAGACCATCCATCTGCAGATGTAGGGAAACTTCAGGACGCAGAAGTGCACACCTCAGCGGTCTACTCAAGCCGAGGAGATCCATCACCAAACATATGCGCTTGTCATGGGGACGTCTGAATGGATGAACAAATAGGAAGGCCTGTTTATGAGGCTTCCTCCACGTTTCCAGAGCCCAGGCAATAAATCCGATCGTGTCAAAACGGCGCGCCAATGTTCATGGATGAGCGTTGCACGTTGGCGAGCATCTGCCCACAGAAACCTGAAGAGAACAATTCTCTGAAACACATTACATAACAGCATTTTCTCACTCACTGTGTAGCCAAAATGTCCAAATACTGCCAGCAGTTCTGCAAAATTAGCTGCTAAACTGAATTAGCAGTTGTATGTGTTAGGTAAGCCAGCTGCTAACATAAACGTCCCTTAGCAGAGACATTAGTTTTCTGTCGCAAGTCTTAAAAACTAAAATTATAACCTGCTAAATTACAAGGTACTTGATTTAACGTGGTTTTAACAGTCAAGCTACCATTTAATAACAGTACAAACGACTAGCTAACTGCAATAATGCTACAAATAAAATCGACTTAATTGCAGTTAGCTAGTTTGCGTTAGTTGCTGTGTGAAGTTTGCTAGTTTTTCTAGTAGCTTGTAGTCTGGTCAACTGCTTTTTACAAAAGGGTAGCTTAAATAGCTACAATTTAAAACTTAAATTTAGTAGCTATCGTCATTGCAGTTAGCTAGTTTTTCTAATAGCTTGTAGTGTAGCTAACTGCTTTGCTACCTTTTAAACTAATTTAAATTGAGTAGCTATTCAATGTGGTTAACCAGTTTTTGTAGCTATTTCATTGCAGTTAGCAAGTTTTTGTTAGTAGCATGTAGTGTAACTAATTGTACCACATTAAATTGACTAGCTATGTACTTTCAATGCAGTTAGCTAGTATTTGTTTGTAGCTATTTCATTGCAGTTAGCTAGTAGCTTAACAAGAGTATGTAAACTTTAAACAACTAAATTGAGTGGCTATCTTCATTGCACTTAGCTAGTTTTTGCTTGTAGCTTGTGGCATAGCGAAGTGCTTTTTAAAAGAGTAGCTTAACTTTAAACGACTTTGAATTGAGTCTATGTCCTTTCCAATAGTTTAAGTTGCTCTTTTAAAAAGCAGTTAGCTACACTACTAGCAAAAAACTGGCTTAACATTAAACTACTTTAAATTGAGTAGCTACTTCATGGCAGTAGCTTGTATATTTAACTGCTTTTTTTTTAAAGGTTAGCTTAACCAGCTAATACTTAAACGTCTTTAATTCGAGTAGCTTGTATTTTCCTGTTTTATATTCAATCAGAGCAGTATAGCCTCATGTGCTAAGGTCAAATAATTTACAGAAAATACTACTAAGAAAACTTTAAGAACGCCAAAAGAGTTAAAAGGTTAAAGGTTAGCCAACGAGCTAACTTGTTCAGAATAGAATTCGAGCTTACATACTGTACATCGTCAAATTAATATGTGAAAACAGTATGGATTAGCATTTCAAATACTATGAAATGCTATTATTGGGCATTTTATATCATCTTTCCTTTTGGGAACATTGTGAAATGAGTAAAACCAAATCAACACATCTTTCGTGGTGAAGCGTGGAATATTTTTAATATGCATTACATGTTTACGATCAAGTTCTACATCAACCAGCATTTCATTTTTATACAGCAGGAAAATTGAATTATATTCTATCGTCTTATTGTCATTTTGAAGACGACCCGCTATTTTAGCCCCACATAACTGAGGCGGAAATGAATAAAAAACTAACTGATGGCTTAATAAACAATCCGCTGAAATAGGGCTGGGCGATATAGCTAAAAAATGTATCAACGATATATGTTTCATATCGTTCGGTATCGATAATTATTGACATTTCTTATAACATTTTTTAAAACAGAGCAATAGAAATTT